AAAGATTGAATCACAGAAACCTATTATTCTGGTATAATATGAGTAAAATGCTCCATAACATTTAACACTGCTGAACGTTCAATCTTAGACATGAGCTCTGTAATTTATTCTTTAATCAATATGAAATTGCCTTATCTTGCTTAAAGTTCTTTATCATGTTGAAGTTTCACAGGGCAGAATTTGGCAGGTAACTTTAGGGAAGGGCACTGCATATTTGTCCCTTTTATTACACACCTCTTATGACTGTGTGAAGACAGCCATTGTTTCTGATGTTGTGCCTCTTCGTTCTTAGTGCCCTCTACAACCAATACCCAGCATGCCATTGTTTTGACAAGCATGTTAGCCCAAAGCCTAACAGAGTGACATAACACCGTGAACAGAGAGACAGATAGGTAGCTGAGGGTGGATCCTGGACATTTGTCCCAAGGGGGGGGGGCACTATACAGAATGTGGTGGGATTGGAAATAAAAGGTAGTAGGTAGAGATATGGTCCATGTAGTCACCATGGACAGACTGGCATGCAGGCAAACCTCTTGTACAAATCCTCTACCAGGGAATATTACTATTTAACATTCTTCTTTATATTACAAAGTACCCAGCGGAGAGGAAATAATGAAAAGAAAACAAAGTTAGTTTTGAAGAGCCAATTACTCATTTGAAGTTTCCCTTTCCTATAAAGGCAAGAATAATAAACAATAAGAAAAACAAAAAGGAAAAGTATCCTAGGGATTTTTCATTCACTTTGAAACAAGCAAACAACAACCAGAAACAAGAGCACTATGCAGTAGACTATAGGAATACTTTCTGGAAATCCTGGAAACCTGTCTAATAATGGTGAATAATGAAGATGCATTATATAATAACCAAATGTAACTAAGGCAGTTAGAGTGAGCAATTCCCTTGGGGCTAAATCCTTTAAAATATTAATTAAGCTGCATTGGTTGAACTCAACCTATTAACCCTCAGAAGCAAAAACTTTGCACTTGTATGGTCCTGTTGTCCTTTACTTTTTTCATTTTGGAATGAGATTAAAAGAAAAACACAACAGCCTGACCTTCTCACCTCTGAAAGGCAAACAGGCTTTCACATACTTTAAACTTTTTTAAAATGAATCCTATGGGCATCAGCTGCTGAACAACAACTAAGCAGGGAGGATAGAACAGCATAATTTATCTGTAGGTGCTACAGCAAACAGACGCAAGACACTGTGCTAGGAAAATACTGTAGGTTGGTTAAACAAAGTATCAGATGAAGACCCATGCCAAGCTATTACATAGTATAGAAATTTGAGGAGACGGGACAGAGGAAAACTCACCTCAGAGCAACCTAAAAAGATTTACTGTTGCCCATCACCTATGTTCCTTTTAGTAAGCTTTTAGAGCAGGATGGCAACTAGCAGCCAGCACAATGTGCAAGACCAATTCTGACTTCCTCATACATAATCCATACATCATCTTATGTCACACTGTGAGCTCTGTCATGGGCAAACGAGGCTGAGGCTGTGATTCTATAGGTATGTTTCACTGAAATTAAATAAACTCTTATTATGTGATCCACCTAATGATACACACGAGAAGTCTCATTTCATAATTAATCACAATTTAGTTTCAGTGGGAGTTAGAGTGAACTGCATATTGAAAGGAAAACATGAGGCTCCCAATCCAAAATTCCCCTTCTATCGTTTAAGTGGGGAGGGACAATGGACTGTAGTAGAGGAGAATTTATAGACAGAATTCGTGCATGCCTACAAATGTTCTCTGAATGTGTTCGTTTAAATCTCCCAGTCAGATCCTGAAGTGCAGTCAACCTTAGGATGCAGGATGACTTTTGAGTGGGAGGGGAAGCTCCTGAAAGGGAGGATTAGCAAGCCTAAGTACAGCCCCAGTTCAAGCTCTGTTCCTGCTTGAGGTAGGAGAGAAAACACACTGCCACACGTCATGCCGCGTGCTTCTGCCACACTGCACTGCTGACTTAATTGCATCATTCTTTGCCACATTCTGACTGTAAGGAGAGCTGCACGGCCAGGAAAAAGTGGCTTTGGAGCTCTTATGACACACAGGAGAGTTCTTCTGACAGCTTCAAAGGAACCTCTTCCAGCCATGCATGTTCCACTGAGCTGACACAGTGGCAGCTAAAGCAGTGGGGGTGATGAGGGAAACAAAGTATGCCAGACATTTTCTTGTTGGGGCAAATGCCATGACAGGAAGGTAGCCGGGAGGGCTCTCCAGAGCATGGCTGAAGGCAGTGGGGGTCAGCCCTCCTGGCAGGAAGGGTAGGGTGCAATGCAACGCTCCCACCTGGCTGACTGATGTGGGCATGGCAACCTGCCTCGTGGATGGCCAGACCTGCCCGAGGATTTCCCTCCTGCTATTACTCCCATGTTAGTACTCCCTCTGGTCCCGCAGTTCCACAGCCCCGAAAGAGGATTTGTAAAGAAGCATTTAAAGAGTAAAAATGTCATTTCACCCTTAGTCATTGCTTTTACCTAAATTGGGGACATTTATTTAGATACTACTATTGCAATAAACAGTGTCTTAAAGTGTAATACATATGACAGTGGTCACTGCCCCAAGCATCTAACAAATTAAATCACTATAGAATTACTGCGCCGTGATTCTGCAATTTTTTTTTAAAGAAAAAGGAAATAATGGTGTGGTAACATACGATACTAATTTGGGGTGGGCAAGGGAGGATAGTTTGTTATTCAATTTAGCTGCAAATTTTTTTCAGCGCAAACACTGAGTAGAACACAATCTCAAACAACAAATTCTGAAATGGGTATACAGTCTTGGCTTATAAATATGCTTTCTACCATATGTTAATTGCATCTGTTCAATAAAGCAGCAGCACAAATCACAATACTTTTAGAAAGCACTATTTAGTCTTTCGTACAGAGCTTTGTGCTGGTATTAAATTCAGGTCACTTTGACCTTTATGCTAATAACTGGGTATCAGACATCTTATGCACTTTTATATTACGCAACCTACTTCTTTTCTCTCTACTGTCCACAAACCCAGGTGCAGATCTTTCAATACATGTACTTTAAATTTCGTATTGAATTTTGAAAGAGCATGTCTCTGTGCAGATTAATAGAATAGTTCTGTCTGCGGAACATTCTCTCTGGCTTTAAGAAAGGTTAACTCTTGCCAACCCTAAAATGAATTATACACCATCACCACTCATGCTAAATGAAATTCATTGAAAGAAGAGGCATTATTACAAGTTGATTATTAACTGTGAAAAAGAAGCATATTCATTTAAAAATGTTTAAAAGAACTGTCAGACTTTATAACCATTGACATTTCATAGCTTGGGGGTGTTCCTTGATCTTTGCCACTCGAAGCTCAAGTGGTCTTAGCGGCACAGAGCGCCTCCTACCAGATTTGGCTGGTGATCCAACTACTGCCCTATCTGGACAGGGGTAGCCGGTAAACTATGCTCAATTAACTATGTTCGAACAATCTCTGAAGACAACCACGGCAATACTCTATACATAGGGCTACCCTTGAAGACTGTTCAGAAGCTTCTGTCTGAGTAAAACACAGCAGCCAGACTAATAACTGGACCATATTCTGAGCATATAATTTCCACTTCAGCTTGCTTCTGAGCCCAATTCAAGGGGCTAGTTTTAGGCTATAAAGGCCATCATGTTTGGGGACCACAACTGCCAATGCACTATCACTTCCAAGCACTACACTCAACATTTGTGGCCTTCCTCCAAATGCCGCCTTGGCAGGTGACAACAAGGCGGGCTTTCTCTGGGATAGCCCCCACATTTGGGAATGATCCTCCCACCAAAATCTGCCTGGCACCCATTTTATCTTTTTGGTGGCAAGTTACAATTGTCCTCTTTGCTGATGCATTTACCAGTTCCATGCAGCACATGGTGGTGGTAGCTGTTTTTCTGTAGGCCTAGCAATATGGACTGATTTTTGATAGCTATAAAGTGTGGTTTAAAATGTTTTTTGAAACGTAATTTTATGTTTTGTATTCTATTGTATACATTACTGTTGTTCACCATCCAGAGAGCTTCAGCTATTGGGCAGCACAGAAACTAAGGAAGTAAATCTTCAGCTTTGCTGTCTTTCCAGCTATGCAAATAATAATATAATACAGTATTGTGATGGAATCAAGGGGTTTTTCATGTTCCCCTCTCTGACTTATTAGCTATGGGCAACGTAATAATGTTATAGAGACTGCTATCATGCCTCACCACAAAAAGATACCTTATTTATTTGCTCCAGATGGCAATGACTTTTGATCCATGAAGTACTAGCATTATGAGCTGGGTATCTGGGAAAGAAGATCTTGACCTGCTTTGCATGTCCAAACAAGCAGTGAACAAAGCATGTGTTGTCTGTGTGGGAACAAGTGTCTCCCATCTGCTTGTAGGCTTCAGCTTTGCCAGGAACAGTGAGTTGTCACAACATGTGAAGCCAGATTTGCACATCGCAACCAAGAACACAAAACGGGCAGGAGTCCACTTCATTGCTGGTACAGGCACAGCTAACCAATGGTTGTTTAATATGTGCAGTTTAGTATGCGTAAACCAGGTTTGATTTTTTAGCAAAAGCAAGACCGATCTATAGAGCCAAGTAATAACACATTTGCATTTTTCCATTGTATATATCATAATACTGTTTTCTACGAATTCCATGAGAAACTGACCTATGCCCAATTTTTGAGAAATCAGCTCACAACAGTTTCTACAAATCTAACTTTAAGCAATCACACTAAGCGCAAGCAATTTTAAATTCATGCCTTCCAACTTCCAAAGGCATATTTTCCCACCAAGTCTACATTTTCCAAATATTTTACACAGTATCAGGACTCTAATGCAATAAGCCTCCAGCATTAAAATAAAGCACTATATCTGCTCTGACTGCATATTAAAAGCCAAATTTTGCCCTTCATAAGTTTCTAAGTTCATTGGAACTAGCTGGACTAATTATGGTGATCATATAAAATGCCACTTTTCAAATAAGACGTGCTTTATTACCTTGATGATAGAAAAGCAGCATATATCTTTTCCCTAGTTGTGATCAAGACAGCTTCCCACATGAGTAACTGGGTTATGACACCAATCCAGCCTAACAAAACAAAGAACAGCCAAATTCAGACCTCCATTTATCACAGCACTTGTTGCTAGGAAACCTTTCATCATTTGTCAATTATCATTTATTAGGCATAAGTTTAAACCATTCTAAATAAAATTTTATTTCAGCTTTGTTCACACTTTTCTCTCTCTAAAAGTGTATTACTTATCTATGGTAAGTTCACCTTCAGGGCATGGTCAGAAATAAGCATTTGCATTATAATTCCTGTAGGAGCCAAACAACCATTTTCAGTAAGTCATTTCTTTTGAGTACTTCATAGTACATGCAAGGTATATATTATAATGCATGTGTAATACCTTCCATTATAAAATTCAGCTAATGTTTTAATCGATCTCTTACAGGGGAGAAACTCATATTTATGATATTCTTCCATTAACACATTTCACACACATTTCTTTTAAAAAATTAAAGAAAAGGAAATCATCGTTTTTAGCAATAGTAGTGCTAGAAAGGTCTGTAGCCTTTCCCTCAGCACCATGATAAATTAACCGCAACTCATTATGCAACTGCACTTAAAATGACCCCCATTTTCAAGATTTCTAGCATGTCCTTGGTGGGATTTGAAGGCCATTGCTTAATGTGACTTGACATCATGATTTTAAAAAGCAAAATGTGACATTGTCAAGCCAAGTTTGGGGGGAGGGGGTTAACCACTCATACTACACTGTTAATGATTTCTACAAAATAAACAATTGGTTTCTACAACTTTTGATTCTATTTTTTTTTTTCAAAATACTTCCCTAAGTACTGTAGGAAAGACCATCACCACTTCTTCCTCTTGATCCAGCAAAACCAGGGCACACACTGAAGGGGGCTTCTGTGCAGTGATCGTCTGCTAAACAAAGCATCCCATGCATAAAAGGGGCACTGGGCACACCCAGATCCTTCAACTGAAACTAGTGTGGTATAGTAGGTTGGACACTGGCCGTGGAACAAGCGGACACCCAAATTCAAATCTCTGCTTAGCTACTGAACTCACGGGGTAGCTCTAGGCAAGTCATTTTCTTCTGGTGTTGGGGTGGGGGAGGGACAGTGGTATACCATTTATTTTAAGCTGCAGCAGTGCATTCCTCTATATGCCTAATGGGAGCTACAGTGGACTTACTTTAAATATATCTCTAGCTGCTATTTCTCTCCCAACCCATTCTTGAATGTAGAGTAGATTACAGGAAGCAGATCTAGTTTGTTAAAAGTCCCCCTACTCCCCACATGAGAATCCTAATCTAAGTTGGCATGGGCCCTGAATTATTCTATGGAATACATAGAGGGGGAAAGATATAGCTACTAGCCAGACTTTTAAAATAATCTCTGCTTCCGCCCTCAGGTCTCTTAACAATAGGTTCTATTGCACTAAATGAAGCTTACTCCCAGGTAAGTGAGTATATGGTTACTGTATCAGAATCCTATAATATACAAAGCGGTTCTTACACAATGAGCTTATTGCATACCTTGACTATGGTTCTCCATGTCCCAAACCTGCTACTCAAGATGCTTTATTGATTGAAGAAGCCCAAGGCTGACACAGGATCTTGCATATACCAAGTAACCAAGTGTAGACTAGCATTGAACAACATGCATTCCCTAAGAATACCGTCTTTGCGTAAACACATGCAGTTATACTGGCTTCCCATTGAAGTCCGGGCCCAATTCAAGGTGTTGGTGATGACCTATAAAGCCCTAAACGGCTTGGGTCCTGGTTACTTGAAGGAGCGCTTGCATCCATATATGCCCAGCCGCCCCTTGAGATCAGCAGGAGAGGCCCTCCTCCGGGAGCCCTCAGTGAAGGAAATTAGGAGGGTGGCTACTCGGAGGAGGGCTTTCTCAGTGGTGGCGCCTAAGTTATGGAATGCGCTCCCCAGAGAGGTCCGCCTGGCGCCGTCGTTATTTGTTTTTCGGAGCCAGGCGAAGACCTTTTTATTTAAGCAGCATTTTAAATGTTAATATTATTGAATTTTATTCGGCCAGGGCGGCTTATTTTATTTTACTGTATATATTTTAATTGTTATTGTTTTAATGTATTTTGTATTTGATGTTGTAAGCCACCCCGAGGCCTTGGCAAGGGGCGGCATAGAAATGTTTTAATAAATAAATAAATACCCAGCCAGAACACCATGCATGCATTCTCTCTCTCTCTCTCTCTCTCTCTCTCTCTCTCTCTCTCTCTC